AAAAGTTCACAATGTCCAGAATATGAATTCTTTCAGGGACTATGGGGCCAGAATTCCAGCACTCTTTGGAAACTTTTTATCTCTCCTGACACTGCCCACTGTCTTGAGTTACCTGAGGCCATATGCTGTCTCCATGTGTATTTTAGTGAAGTTTTGAAGAGTAAGAGGGAAAAGAAGCATCGGTGCTTGTGGAATAGAAAACACCACGGACAAACTTTTGTTTTCTGCAGGCTCTGCCAGTAGTCAAGGGAAGAAAAATCAAAGAGGAAGATAGCTAATTCACTCAAAAAGGAATTTAAAAGCAGTCTTTATTTGGCATCTGCCCTGAAATATACACAGCTTTGTAAAAGCATTTCTCAACTAAAAGATTCTAAAAGCAACACTGTTGAACTGTCTGGAGATTTAGGTGGTTATAGTGCTTCCTGGATAGACAGGGCATCCTGGACTCCAGTGTCTGTGGAGTCTTGTCTTATTTATTTATTTATTTATTTAGAGACAGAGTCTCACTTTGTTGCCCAGGCTAGAGTGAGTGCCGTGGCATCAGCCTAGCTCACAGCAACCTTAATCTCCTGGGCTCAAGCAATCCTCCTGCCTCAGCCTCCTGAGTAGCTGGGACTACAGGCATGCGCCACTATGCCCGGCTAATTTTTTTGTCTATATATTTTTAGTTGGTCAATTAATTTCTTTCTATTTATAGTAGAGACGGGGTCTTGCTCACGGTGATTTCGAACTCCCGACCTTGAGCTATCCTCCCGCCTCGGCCTCCCAGAGTGCTAGGATTACAGGCGTGAGCCACCACGCCCGGCCTTGTCTTTTTTTTTATTTTTCTCTGTAAGTGGCTCACTGCTGTCTGGTCCTCCAAGCCTTTGAGAAACTAAACAGAGATCCTGTTGTTTACTTCTACACACAAAACAAGCCTTGCTGCTCTGTGTACCCCTTTGATACACAAACTAGCACCCAAAAGGAAACAAAAATGCAAATGATTTTGGTACATTTACCCAACGTAGAACCATGCTTAGAAACAAAAAGTTCTATAATTTTTTTCTGCTCCTTGTTTATGCCACCAACATTTGTTTTAGGAAAAAGAAGAAACTTAGGCATCTAAGTACTCCTTCGGCCGCCTCTTCTAATTTAGGTTGGGGTGCGTGCCTGCGCTTCCCTCAGCCAAAACGGCTCAGACGGGTGTAAGCATTTTATTAAGGCTCGAAGTCACCCACTGAATGCTGCACGTGCGTGTGCGCGTGCACACACACACACTCACCCCACACCCCTGAGCCAGCCAAGATTCGAACCTGGAATATTCTAATCTGTGATCAGATGCGTTATCCATTGCACCACTGGCCCTGTGAGGAGCCAGTTCCGTTAATTTATGTATTCCCCTTTATGATTTCACAGTCCTAAAAACAAGAATGTTGTAAGAAATGTAGAAGGGAAGGAATTTTAATTCATTACTCGCTAATTTCTTGTGATTTTATTTCCCCTGGTGAGTGTGCAGGGTTGAGTGTTTTCTATAACATGGCATGTGAAATCTCCAAAGAGAGTCAATTTATTATCCACCAAAACAACTACCCTGCCAAAAATCCAGCATCAAGCAAAAATCCACTAAGACTTAAAGGGTAGTCCTCTCCCAAAGGGAACTTATTCCTACCAGTTGATAGCATTCAGTTAAACTTGGAAAACAAACTTCCAAGTTTGTTTTCACAGTTCTTTCTTACAATCCCCAGTGCGTTCCCTGCGGGTGCTGAGGTGTACTCACCCAAGAGTGACTTCAATTGAAGGTGTAGGGAATCGAACCCGGGACCTTGTGAATGCAAAGCAGGCGTTCCACCACCGACCCTTGAGTACCTTAGCTCTTTCATCAAATATTATTACTATTTTCCTGTGAGGATTTTCGTTTTTGTTTTTTAAGAGTTGGTTAGGTGAAAGTCTACTGGGTTAAATTTCTCATTCCCCAAAACTGCGAATCTGGATACTGTCTAGGGACTTCATTATTAGAGTAACTGGACTGTGGGCCCAGTAGTACAGCTTGTGATTCTAGAACCTTCCCACTTCTGTTAGCCTTCACGAAGTTCCATTCGTCAGCGACTCGGTAAAAATTACTTGCCTCTACCAGGAAAGTCCCACAAAAATCTCACGTCTTCAACGTAGATGTAGATCGCAGCGACACAGACTGGAAGAAAGCGCTTCCCAGTGCCGTCAGCCGCCGGCTGCAGTTGACCTTCACACCGCGAGGGGGCGGATGCCGAGCCCGCACCGGCTCTCCTGCGGGTTCGCGCCTTCCGGGTTCTGAGATTGCCTTCAGTTCTGGTTCCACACTCAGTTTCTATTTCTTGCTTGAAGACTATCTCCACAAAGGATTTTTAAAACAGCAGTTTCCAAAATCTATCACATTTAAGTAGAGTGACTTCTTTTTTTCAGACTGGGGGAATAAACGGGACAAAGGCAGACGCAGAGCAGCGGAGAAAAGTTGGGAGGGCGAAAAAAAGCTGTCAAACTGCTTTCTTTTTGAGAACCTATCAACGCAAGGACGAAGCCTGCTATAGATAGATATTTGAAAGAAAAAAAGTCAAAGAGACCTGGAAACCTTCCAATGGTGCCCATCGGTGAATTAGAAAATGCGGGGAGGTCCTGGGTATTGCAAAGCAGATAGGATCGAATTGTCTGGGAAAGAGCAGAGGTAATGGCCCTGCATTCACTGGATGCTTTCAGCTACTTGTGGGGGGGCACTGACGTTGAAGCCCTGGGCTGCTGCTTTATCAAAGAGCCTCCGTGTAATACTGACAAAAGTATTTCAGGCAAGTTTTCATTTAAAGACTTAAAATATTGAATGAAAGTGGTTACTAATAATGGCAAAGAAGATTGAAAGCACTCAATTCTGATTTTCCTGGCCTTAGGCTTCTGGAAGTTTTCCTTGAGAAACTGAATGCAGGATGTTTGTGATCAGGTGACAAGCTGCTGGAAGGAGAATTCCTTGATGGGTTTTGCCGGCCTTTCAAACTCTGGGGAGGAATCTGAGACTTTTAGAACTGTAGCGCTCTCCCAACTGAGTTGTCAGCTATACCTCTACCTTCACTGACACTAATAATTTTCTCAACTTTTGTGTTTGGAAAGCACTGCATTCGTTGAGAGATATCTTTCCCTAACTCTCACTCAGAAGTTGGGCTCAATATCCTGCCACATTTGGTAATTGTTTGGAACTACTGCCACCTGTATATGTGGAAGGGAAATGAGGGGAGAGAAAATCAGTGGGTGAGTTTTCTGTTCTTCGCCTTCTCGCAGAAACAAGAGAGACTACAAAGGAATTTGTTAACAAAGATTGCCTAAAGGCCTCTTTTTTTTCTTTTATTTTTCTTTTTTATGCCTCAGAGAACTGTGAAATGGAACCAAAGGAATGTGAGCTTACTCAAGCAATGTGGCATGAGTGTTTCTCTCCTTTCAGAAGAGTGGGATGTTTCTTTTTCTCTAAATTCTTCTTTTCTTACTTGTACTGATGCAATTTGGCCATATCATTGATGTACAGGTTTGAAGGGGAAAGACAAAAGCAGTATTGAAGGAATCCAGGAATAAAACTGGATTCTCCCTACATGCTTAGCCTATGCTCTGCCACTAAGCCACACACCCAAACAAACCCTATACTTCAGTAAATCCTCCATAACTGATGATTGCCATAAGTTCTGGGTATCTAATGGTTGACAAAGTTTGCTGTATTCTACTTCACTATTTCTGGAAAAATCCCACACTAATCCTTTTGTGCAGCTGTGCCATGAGAAGAATAATGGAATGCTAGACCAATAAGTGGTTCTGTTACTAAGATCTTCCTGCTCCAGTCTTCCCACTCCAATCAGTCCACTCCAAGGCCTGCTCATGAATAGACTACCAGATTGTCAGTTCCAATTCATCAGCAAGAGTCCCAGAGAAATATTCACTTCTTTTCAATATCCTTTTCTTTCAGCTTCCACTTTGCCTACAAAGTGTCAAGAAAGTGTTATGTCATGTACAGGAGGGATTTTTCTACCGCCTGCACAGTAGCTTTACATACTTCTTGCACTGTATGTAGCATTAGCATTTTAAATTTCCACTCCTGGGGATGATTTTTACTATTAAAATGAAGATAATCTTACTGTAAGTTGGAGCTTAAGCCTAATGGCGCCTGTGGGAGCTCTGGCAAAGTCCCTAACCCTCTAAAGCAAGAACTTGTGGTTAACGGGTTTTTTGGTTTCTTGCTTCTAATGGGCTAGATATTCAGCAAGCCTCAGCTTGAATAAGGGGTTTTATGCAAGCTTCAGCTTCAACGGGCCTCTGCTCCTCTCCTCTGGACCTCATCAAAACAGGAAACCAACCAGTCTGCCTATCTCATTGTGATGAGGAAAGGTTGCTCGGAGGCCACTGGAGCCAGATGTTTCTCTTATCTTAGTTATGCTGCAGTCTTTGTTTTTAGAATTTGCAGTCCTGGGAGAAAGATCTTGCCAAATGTATTAGTAGCAGTTGCTAACAGGGAATGAGTATTCTTTTACTGGCCGGGATACATTTGTACAACCATTTTAGAAAACTCACTGCTGTGAGGAATGTAATGACAGTGACCAAGGCATTCCTTAAAAATCTTAGATGGTAGTGCTAGTGAAAGGTGACCTTACTAATAACCTACCTAACAGAGGAAAATAAATAATCAAACAGAAGGTAAGAAGAATACACTCACAGCACATAATTGCTGTTCTGAAGAGAAATCTGGCAGTATAACTGCCCTTTGTTTGGTTTGGTTAAACACCTGAGGCAATATCTCTAAAAGTTCCTTTTTTTTTTTTTAATTTAAGCCCTAAAATTTCCTTTTCATAGCCTTGAAGAGTCCTAAAAGGATAGCAAGGGTGTGAGTTCCCTTCCAGCTCTTGCCTGAACCAGATTCCAAGGACTCTGATAAAGCCAGCCTCACAGAGAGAAGAAAAAAAATGGAAAAGACAAACAAAGCTGCTTCACAGCCACTCCTGTTATCAGTCTGCAGCAGTGGGGGTGTATCTCAGTGGTAGAGTGCATGCTTAGCATGCATGAGGCAGGCCCTGGGTCCAATCCCCAGCACCTCCAGTGGGGGGTTTTCTATACATACTCCTAGGATGAGGATCCTTAGTACTTTTAATTGAAAATATCCAAATTTTCTGTCCTTAATTCTCAGTTCCCTTACATAGCTGTGATAACTTTAATTCTTAGTTCCCCTACATATCTGTGATAACTTTCTTAATTATTATGGTATACAAGGAGACAATTCATGCTTATTTATTCAAATTTATTTTTTTATGTTTATAATAATTAGCCTCCACTCTGGAGCCAGGCAGCTGGTGATCATAAAGATTCTTAACTTCTCCCCATAGCTGGTATCCATAAAGATTCTTAACTTTCTCTGTAATCGCTTTTTCAAAACCTAAAGGTGGTTTTTAAGATATCTTCCAGGCCCTGCATTCCACTGGATCGATGGGCCCACACAGACCAGCCGCCCATACCAAGAAACTGAATCAACTAGAATTGTGACCTCAAGGTCTAGAGCAACACAGGAAGATCAAGAAGATAATTTCTACATCCCTCTAATTTTGCCTAATCCCTTGCCAATCAAACTACCCTTAAAAGCCCTGTCATCCAAATTCTTGGGGAGGCAGATTTGAGAAATTTCTCCCATCTCCCTGCTTGGCGCTATGCAGAATGAAAACTTCCTCTGCATTAAAACCTGTTGGCTGCTTCTTGGGCAGCGGGCAAATGAACCTGGTTGGGCAGCAACACTTTCATGTACATTGGGAATATCGTGGTGAATGCTTTGTCTGGTAATGCTCACGTATATTGTATTCTTTTAGCAAAGTTACAGTGTCATTTGGTTCCATTTCTCAGCATTTTAGGAGATTATGAAAGATGAAAGAGCAAAAAGAAAAGAAAAATAAAGGACCCCACAATTATTATTATTATTATTATTATTATTATTATTTTTTGAGACAGAGTCTCACTTTGTTGCCCAGGCTAGAGTGAGTGCCGTGGCGTCAGCCTGGCTCACAGCAACCTCAATCTCTGGGGCTCAGCGATCCTACTGCCTCAGCCTCCCGAGTAACTGGGACTACAGGCATGCGCCACCATGCCCGGCTAATTTTTTGTATATATATATTTTAGCTGGTCAATTAATTTATTTCTATTTTTGGTAGAGACGGGGTCTCGCTCAGGCTGGTTTCGAACTCCTGACCTTGAGCAATCCGCCCGCCTCGGCCTCCCAAAGTGCTAGGATTACAGGTGTGAGCCACCACGCCCAGCTCTATTTTTGTTTTTTTAGTTTTAGTTTTCTTGATTTTCTGAGCTGTATCTGCCTCAACTGACAAGATTCAGAGGAGCAGAGTAGCTTTCCATTGGATCCCACCCACCACCTCTCTTCTGTCTCTCTCTTCCATCTATTCATCCCACACTGCCAGGTATTGGATATTCAACCAGCATATGTGAAAGACAATAGATTCCAAATCTTTCTGCATGGATAAGTACACTGGACAATTAGCAATACTGAAGGGATCTGAAACCTTTTAAGAAAAGAGAAGTTGAAAACAAAGTATTGAAAGAGGAGTGGAAGAAAAAGCCTAAGCTTAAGCAGGCAAGGTAGCTTAGTTGGGAAGGTGGTAGGCTGGAGATCTAAGGGTGGGCAGTCCGATTCTGGGCAGTGGAGAGTGGAGGTGCCCTCTGCTGAGAATACGTGTTTGTGTAAGATGAGTCTGCTGGTGTAACGTTGCATAATAAATTTATAATTCAACTGTAAGAGTTGACAGTTGGAGTCCGCTTTTATTGTTTTGACATTCATTATGTGTGTGTACTGACAATTAAAAAATAATAAAATGTCATGGTACAGAGTCGCATGTGATACCGAAAAGGCTGTGGAACTACCACTGAGCCACTGTGATTTACAGTGCGCACAGCAGCAACGCGAAGGAAAAAGAGCGCCACGTACCACCTGTGTTGCATCTACTCTGTCCCAGCCCGGAAGAAGACACTGACGATACATAAATGAATGAGGGGGCTGCGTTCAAATAAAACTGTATATATGAACATTAACATTTTCGTCTCTTATAAATTTGACGTGTTACAAAGTACAATTCTTTATTTTTTTCAATCTTTTAAAATGTAAAAATCCTTGCTCGGTTCGGCAGGGTATATAGGAAAATCGGAACGATACAGCTATTCGCCCGGCCCCTGTGCGAGGATGATACACAAATTCTTGAAGCATTCCATACGTGTGTGTATATTTTCTGCGTAAAAATCAAGCTTTGCTTGCAGGCAATAACTTACTCACTTACAGTAGAGGATGCCATTACAAACACCCATAAGAACCCTAATAGCAGACAGGATTTCAGTATCCACGAGTGGGAACTGGTGACAGGGACTAGAACCTTAATCCTCTAATTAACAGGCTGAATACTCGCCAAGTGAGCTACGCAAATCTACCAACTACTTTGGGGCACACATATATTCCACTAATTCATTTGGTAGTTCTTGTCCTAATCTGTAAATCTCTGCATTCTCCTCGATGTAGAGAAAGTTCCATTCAAAAGGGATGATATAAACCCTAACACTCAGAAGTGCTCTGTTTTCCTCCCTCCTCTCTTCCTTGTCTTCCATCTCTTTGAGTCCAGAATCAGAGCTATAATGTCCACAGAAAAAGTCATTGAGGATATTAGTTCCTTCTTCATCATTCATTTTTCTTTCTTTTCAAAGTCAAAAGAATTGCTTGAGCTTACTTCTAGTGGTTGACTTTTTGTGTGTGTGTGTGTGAGACAGAGTCTCGCTTTGTTGCCCAAGGTACAGTGAGTGCCGTGGCATCAGCCTAGCTCACAGCAACCTCAAACTCCTGGGCTCAAGCAATCCTTCTGCCTCAGCCTCCCATAGTGGTGGACTTTTCAAAGAAGAGCTAGTGACTCTGGTTTCTGTCACAGATCCACAATCAAAACATTAAGTCAAATGCCTTAGAAAGCCTAAAATGAGCCTGATATGAAAATATCTGCTCATAATCTCTTCCCTTATTATCTTGCTTGCATTTTTCCCTCGACTTCAGTTTCCCTGAGGCAGTGTGGAAGTTCCAAGCCAAATACAGTGAGGTTATGAAGAGCTAAAGAAAAAGACTGGTGAATCAGTGTCTGGGTCAAAGATGTTATTCACTGTCTGCGTGGTTCTGAGCTCAAAGGCCAAGAGAATGAAAGTCCAAGAAAGGATTTTTGTTTGTTTGTTTTAGTAAATGAAAGAAAAATTCTGAAATACACCACAAATATTAAAGTATTGCCTGATGAAGAAGAAAAAATAAAAATGGTTTTCGTGGGCTCTGTGGCTTAGTTGGTTAACGTGCCCGTCTAGTAAACAGGAGATCTGGGTTCACAGTCCCAACAGAGCCTTGCTGGTTAAGTCCTGAGCTTGCGGCAGTTTCATCTCAAAACTAGATCGTTTTGCCAGTTTTTCTACCATTGGCTGTCCTCGACCTCTGAGTTTGGACATAATAGGCAGCATTCAAAGGCTTTGGAAACAAAATAGAACTGATTTTGGTACATCCATCCAACACAGGACTATATGAAAAAAGCAAAGATCAGAACCGTGATTATAGTATACTACCCAATTTTTTTGTTTTGTTTTTTAAATACAAACAGCACCTTTCACTGGGATTTTCCGTGCAATGTTATCTCAGGTATTTCAATCTGGTTTTATATAGAGTCAAGAACAACTAATTGAAGTTTGGAGAGGAAATATAGATTGCGGGCATGGATTTTACTCTTGCAATAATGCAATTATAGGTGTGAGGGGAGATGGGGCAGGGGTTCGGATGTCTTCAATCCCAGAAATTTGTGAACGCATTCTATGAATGTCTATTTAATATTGATGAGGGCAGGCTACACAATGTAGGCCCAGTGCAAAATGAAAATATGGGGTCCCTTATTCAAAACTTAGAGGAAATGTGTCATTAAGTGTACTAAAATATAAAGCATTTTCCTTTCTTTCTTGGTTGCTTGCTCTCTCTCTGCCTGTCATGGTATTTTTTACTTGCTATTTAATGTCATTCCTATTAAGAAAAATTAAAATTGTAAGTTAGCATTAATTTTACAGTTCATCTTTATTTTGCACAACATCGAAATTCATGGAGCATCTCGGTTACTTTATATATGCACAAACAAGGAAAGCTAGACGCGCAATAGCATGTATTTTTTTCCTCAGGTGTCATGTTCTGTTGTTCCATCGAACACTAACAAAACATAAATTCAAAGATACAATCATTTTGGAATTTCATAGACGACAGAGGTAAAGCGAGAGATTATTAGGGTCTCTAGCCCTAGCCTAGCTGCAAAAGCAACACCTGCCAAAACCTGAGGTTGAACCAGAGACCTTTAGATTTTCAGCTCAGTGTTCTCCCAACTGAGCTATCTCAGCTGCACTAAGCTAGCTCTTTCTTCCATTTTAGTTTGCATTCTTTGATTGTTTTCAACTTTTCACTTTTAGGAAATTTCAGATTTCTTAAGTGCTGCTAACTTAAGAACGTTTATTTTATTTACCCACCCAGAAAGATTTGGAATCTACTGTCTCCTATATATGTTGAATGAATCCAATTCCTGTCAGTAGGGGATGGATAGGTGGAAGAGGGAGACAGAGAGGGGTGATAGGGATTCAAAGGAAATTTTTCTCCTCTTCCACATCCTGTTGGTTGTGCCAGACACAGCTCAGACTATTAAGAAAACTAAAGATAAAAATGTTGTATGGTCCTTTATTTTTCCCCTCTTTTGGTCTGTCATAATCTTCAAAGATGCTGAGAAAAGGAACCCAAAGTTAGTTTCTGTTAATGTGGGGTCAGGTTTTTGTTTCCTGGTGATGATTTTAAGTGAGCTGCTAATCCTCTTTTATCCTCTTCCATCTACTCAACGCCATAGTGGTTTTCTCGGTTGTTTGTTTGTTCGCCCTGAGTGGTGCAGAAGTTTATGGAGCAGTGGAGCACAAATGGGGCAGCACTAAAAGGAGTCCATTGGATCATATTTGTAAATAGAAAAAATGAGAGAAAAAAACAGGTGGGCATTGATGAATAGCTAAAGAACAGAAATGAAGTTTTCAGGAAATGAAACTGAGGCAGCACACATTTTAAGTATGCTTTCTACCACTGAGCAACACTTATGATAACCAAGCTTTATTGGAGATACATCTTGAAATATTACTGTCAGTATGTCTAGTTTTCAAAACATAATAGTTAGCAAGAGAAAGTCAATGGAGATAAGCCCCACTATTTTTGAAATCACTGAACTGGATCCTGTTTAATTGCTGCACCTAGGGAAAGGTTACTGCATCTCAGAACAAGTGACAATGCATTTGCTCCTAAGACATCCCCAGTCTAACTTGAAAAGTGTACACAATTGCTAAAAGATAGTTATATTAATACTGTTTTCCTTGCATATAATTAACCTAGGGTGGATAAGTTTCTCTCTTTTGAATTGATAGGGTTTTGCTTTCTTTACCACATTATGGGATTTGTCACAGAACATCTCACAGTTGTTTTTGATCAAGTGTGGAGCAGAAAATCATTGCTAATTATTTTTAGTATTTCTCTTTTTATTAAGAGTTCAAACAAATCTTTATTGTGGATCAGCAGCTGATTAGAAAACCCAAAGTTAGTTTTAATGTAAGAAACATCCTAAGATTTTCGTTACTGAGAATTTAGGACCTAAATTTAGGAAAAATAATATCAAAAAAACCTGTGAATGTACAATTTAATTATATTGGGATATTAAGTGTTTAAAGTTAAAAAAAAACTTAGCTATAAAAATTATTAGGATTATAGTAATAGTACACTAAAGTTTTAGAAGTTCAGTTCCATTTTGTCTACAGAAAGTTCTTATATTTTCTTATTTTTATTTTTATGTACATTCTTAGTAGTCCCTAGAATCAAATCAGCAAAGGAATTCTATTGAGTAGAAAAGTGTTTAGAGTTTGTTAATTTTTTCTAGATATAAAAAAAGTTTAGGAAATGTGTCTCCTTGGAAAATACATTACATTGATACAAATGAAGATTTGTTTTTAATTTTCTGGAGTAAGTTAGGAAATTCAGAAGAAGTTCTTCTAGACTTACCTTTCTCCCTGCCCCATAAAGACAGATATCCCCAGCATGTGTCCAGATGAAAATAAAGAAAAAGAAAGAAACCCCCAACTTTTGTGGTCAATCTCTAATTTCTTCCAAAAGAAATAGATACAGGAGAAGAGGATATGAGAAGATGGCTAAAGACAAATACAGAAAGAGTTAAGGCCATTGTAAAACGTTAACCAACTTTCCTTTGCTAGAATTAGAAAAGGGTTTTTCCCCTCAATTTACCCCAACTCATTGGAAACAATACAAGAGAGAAGACAGGTGGACCAACATCTTTAAAGTACTGAAGAAAAAAATTCAGCCTATCTGACTCTATGCAAGAAAATGTGCATCTACACAAAGAAATGAAGAGCACTGGAAATAGTAATGATGTAGTAAATATAAGGGTTTTTAATTTTGCTGTTATATAAATCTGTTTAATTGTCAGAAACTATTGTTTAGAGTACAAATAATAACAACGTATGGTGAAACATATGGAGAAGTTAAATGACAATGATAGCACAAACTCTGGGAAAGGAGAAATGGAGGTATAGTGTTGTAACATCCTTATCTATACATGAAGAAATATAGTATCACTTGAAACTGGGGTGTGATTTTTTTAATGTATAGTATAAAGACTAAAGCATCTACTAAAATTGGATCATGGAATTAAATGTAAATAGAAGAAAACATCTTTGTGATCCTGAGTGAGACAAATATTTTGTGGCTATGACAATAAAAGCATAAAATGTGATAACTTGGACCCCATCAAAATTTTTTAAATTCTGCTCTGTGAAAAACATGGTTAAGAGAATGAAAAGACATGTAACAGACTGGGAGACAACATATGCAAACATATAGCTGATAAAGGATCTGCATCTAGACTTTGTAAAGAACTTTCAAGAGGTCAATATTAAGAAAACTCAATTTAAAAACAGGCAAAATATTTTAGTAGACACTTCATCAAAGATATGAGAATGGAAAATAAGTACATTAAAGGATATTTGACAGCATTAATTCTTAGGAAAATATAAATTAAAACCATAATAATATACCAAAGTACAGCTATTAGAGTGGCTATAATTAAAAAAACTAACCATACCAAGTGTTGGCAAAATGCGGAGGAAATAGAACTTTCATACAATGCTGGTGGTAATGTAAAACAGTATAACTTTGAAAACAACTTGGTAATTTCTTAAAAAGTTAAATATATACCAACAACAGGATCCAACCATTCAACTCCAAGTATTTACCCAAGAGAATGGGAACCATATGCCCATAGAAAGACTTGCACACAAATGTTCTTATCACATATATTTGTAATAACCTATAACTGGAAACAAACTAGATGTCTACCAACAGTTGGATTTATAAATAAATTGTAGTGTACTCACACCATGGAATTTAACTTAGCATAAAATGTAATGAACTATAGACATATGCAACATAGATGAATCTGAAAAAAATTATAATAGGTTAAAGAAACAAGACAAAAAAGAGTAAATACTATATAATCCCATTTATCTAAAACTCTGGAAGATGCAAACTTGTCTATAGTGGTGGGAAGTAGCTCGCTGGTTGCTGTGTGAAGAGGTAGGGAGGAGTGGGAAGGGAGTTAAACCCATGAACATTTCTCTCTCTCTTTCTCTCTCTCTCTCAACTTGCCAGCTGTAGGGTGAAGACATTTCTCAAGATACAGATTGGAGGGAAACAACTCTATTGGAAATAAGAGAGAATGATTTTACATTTTGCACATGGGATGTCAAGGTGCTTCCTAGGTTTTCAAGGAAGATAGCCTGGTCTTTACTTGGAGATTACTGGTGAGAAACGCAATTTGGTCTAGAATTCAATTACTTTCAGAGTGTAGCAGGGAAAAAAAAATACAGTTTAGAAACTGAAAAATAAAAAAGTTAACAGAATGAACTTTCGACTGAGAACACTTTCCAAAGACTACAGAAAATGGGCATATTTTCTATTAATAATATATTAAAAAAAAAAAAAAAAGAAGAGGTTCTAACACTTGGGGGTGTAGCTCAGTGGTAGAGTGTATGCTTTGCATGCATAAGGTCCTGGGTTTGAGGCCCAGCACCTCCATGTGTGTATTGCTTGTTTGACTTCCCCAAGTATTTAAATTATATCACACATATTTTCAGTAACTGGAATCAGCATTCCTGCTCTTCTGCCTTTAGTTATGTTTTTCTGCTCACATGGGAAGTCAGCATGATTGCTGCTATAGCAGAGAAAAGAAATGAAGAAAAGAAGAAAAGAAAAAAATGCTTATGCAACACCACTAATGCCATCAAATTAACTAGAATTTTCATCAGGACTACCCTTCTACAATACTACCTAAGAAACCGAAATGAAGAGGAAATAAAATAAGAAATCCATGTACAATTTCTTTACCCATAATAACTAATCCTAAAGACACTATCAGTGGGAAAAATGAGTATGGTTTTCCAACCATCCCTGGAAAAATACTTTAGACTACAAATCAAATGCCTTAGATACAAGACAGTTCATAAACCTTTATTACATACCAAGAGTGGAACACATGAATTTTCACAAGGGCCCTTGTTTCTTGTCTGAGAGTCTGAAAAAAGAAAAAATAAGGAAAGTCCCACCACCAACCTGCTTTAAATTTGGAGACAAAGTGATGTTCATTTTCTGTGGTTGGGAACACTAGGTTTTCAGATAAATTCAAATGATAGAGAGGTTTTTTTCTCTCCTCTCTCTTCCTTCTTTGTGGCCTTCTGCTCCAGAAGGCCAACCAACCGCTGATAGGTGTTGCGGGTTCTTAGAACAGTGCCTGTTTGTGAAGTATGCTTACCACTCTTCATTTAGCACCAGTTTTTCTGAATTTATGTTTAAATTTCCAGACCAACACTAAAGTTACTCATGTTATCTTACTTCATTTCCCTTCAAATATTGTTAATTAATTCTTTTCTATCTTTTATCCCCATTTTGACCTAAATTCTCTGAGTCAACAAACTTGCAACTCTTCTTCATATTTTTTGCACTATTTTTTGTGTCTTGCTGCAGTTTTGTAGGCAGAGGTGAAGGAAGTTTAAAAAAAGACAAGTGGAGACAGAACATATTCCAATCCAAGACTCTCCCTGTTGGTGGAATGGATCTGATGCTCTGGTAGCCTGCTGGTGAGCAGAGACTGGAGTGGACTAACAGGAGTAGGAAAAAGGAATGGTACCTTTCAATCTAGCATTCAGTTATCCTTCTCATGGCATAGATGCAAAAAAAGATCCAGTCTAGGATTTTCTGAAATAGTGAAGCTAAATACAGTAGACTTTGTCTTACTATCAGGTCCTAGAATATCTGAAAATCAGGATGATCATGGGTTATAGAAGATTTACTGAAGTACAAGGTCTACCTGATTGTGTAGCTCAATGGCAGAGCACAGGCTAAGCATGTAGGAGAGTCCAGGTAATCTTGAACTCCATTATTGCTTTTCTCTTTTCCTATCCATGCTGTATTTCAATAACACATCCAAATTTTCCCTATTTTTAAAATTTCTTCAATCACTTTTTCTCCCTGCTCACATCCAAAGTAAATCCATCACCCAACAGATTGCCTTTGAACTGATCTATTTCAATTCTATAGCCCTGCCACCTACCAGCCTTACTGCATCAGCACAAATACAAGAAGAAGTGAGAGAGCGAGCCCATGTTCCTTTGGTTACACTTCACAGTTCACAAAGGAACAGGAAAGAAAAAAGGTGGAAAGGAAAGGAAAAGAGGCTCATAGCTGATTTTGCTTAAGAGGGGTTTTTTTGTTTGTTTGTTTTTTGTATTCTCAGCTGTACCTGTGCCAATTACAAGACTGGACTGAGGAGCAAAAAAGCCTACTCACTAAATTTTCTTACCTTCCACTTCCATTCCACACCTTACTGTTGGCAGTAGTGGGAACCAATTACTGCCAAAGATGGTAAAATATCAATCCCAATTTATTAAAAGTGAGGGGACAAGGAAATGACATCTCTCAAGGAATGCTGTGCTTTCCAAATTCCGAAGTAGAGAAATTATTAGTGTCTATGAAAGTAGATGTGTGGCCAACATAGCTCAGTTGGAAGAGCTCTAGACTAAAGGTCTAGAGACTAAAATCAGGGATCCTTCTCTGTGATTTGAAAAGTCCTCAATTTACATTAAAAAGAATTCTTCCCTGAGTAGGTCACTCATACATACTCTTCTGAATTCGCTTTCTCAAATAAATCTTTCAGAGGGCTAAGACAAGAAGAATCGAAATTGCATGACTTCAATCTTTCCTACCTTCATTAGTAAACACTTATGTTCAGTGAAAAACTTCCCGAAATATTATACTTTCTTCAATAGTATAAGGAGATCCTAATAAAGAAGCACCATAGGCCGGGTGCGATGGCTCACGCCTGTAATCCTAGCACTCTGGGAGGCCGAGGAGGGAGGATCGCCCAAGGCCAGCCTGAGCAAGAGCGAGACCCATCTCGACTAAAAATAGAAAGAAATTAATTGGCCAACTAAAAATATATAGAAAAAATTAGCCGGGCATGGTGGCGCACGCCTGTAGTCCCAGCTACTGGGGAGGCTGAGGCAGGAGGATCGCTTGAGCCCAGGAGTTTGAGGTTGCTGTGAGCTAGGCTGACGCCACGGCACTCACTCTAGCCCGGGCAACAGAGTGAGACTCTGTCTCAAAAAAAAAAAAAAAAAAAAAAAAAAAAAAAAAAAAAACACGAAGCACCATAAGACTTCAGACTCTTTTTTTTTTTTACTTCCGACTCTTTTTTGTTTGTTTATTTTAGACAAGCACGAAAACTGAAGTTTATTGAGGAGAGAAAAATGGGATTATAGAGCAAGAGCAAGATACAGGTTTATACGGGAAGATAAATACACCACAGATGACGACTGGACCCACTGTCGCAGCAAAGGAAGAGCAAAAGGCAGGGCGCAAAATAAATAAAAGAACAAAAAAACCCCAAGACTTCAGACTCTTTACGGAGGTCATCTGCGGGCAAGAGAACAGCCATTACCTCCGCCTTTTCCCAGCAGGACAAGCCAACCCTATCTGCTTTGTGTTATCCAAAACTACCTTTCATTTTTTAATTATTTGATAGCACTCTGAACATTTCCAGGGCTCTTTGGCTTTAGTTTTTCAAGTATCCGTATGTATCTAGGGCAGGCTCTCCCGCTGTGACAGCTTTGCTTGGTCCCCATCCTTGCTTCGCCGCCCTGCGTTGGCTGTTGCCCTGCTTATTCCCCTAGTTTGGAGAAACGCCAGCTGATTAAAGTTAATGAAACTTTAGAGGTGTGTTTCCCCGCCACCCTCCCCAGCGCGGAAACCCTTCGTGAATACAATCCTCAGGGGAAGGTTAGAGATGGGGGTGTGGAACCAGAACTGAGGACAATCTCAGAACTTGTGATGCGTCAACGAGGATTGAGAGTCAGCTGGAAAGTGGACGTTGGCAGAGTATGCGACCCAAATGGCGTGACGTTCAACCCGCCAGTTCCCCTAGGGCCGGCCGCTGCCTCTGGACTGAGGAGCATTTCATTTGAGTCGGTACTGCTGAAGATTTGTGCTGGGAATTTGTGATTTTTCCTGGCGAAGGACAGTAACTTTCAGAAAAAGTAACGCAGTCTGTTTGTGAATGGAGCTTAGAGCGGGGTAAAAGGAGTGGGAAAGTCCAAAGATCACAAACTGTGTCATGCCGGCTATAATCTTAGCATTTTAGTGAAGCCGCCAGTTCACTTTAGTAATTTCACAAGTGGCGGAATTTTTCCAACCAACGACAAATAAAAGCAACATACTGAAAACGAAAGCGATATTTTATAGATTATCCCCAAAGCCTTCGCGACCACTTGGGGGTGTAGCTCAGTGGTAGAGCGCGTGCTTCGCATGTACGAGGTCCCGGGTTCGACCCCCGGCTCCTCCACTGTGGCTTTTTTTTTTCCCGTCACTTTTCCCTACTCCCATCTACACAGAAGATTGTCTAATGAATTGCCTTTAATATGCCATGCCTACTCCATGAGCCTTAGTGCCACCCAAGGTGTGGGTCTCTACAGAAGGAAGAAAGAAGAAAAGAAACGGAACGGCTCACGAGGCTCCCCCGCTGGAAGCACGACGTCTGCGGCCACAGTAACCGACCCCATTCACTTTGGGTTCCACTTGGCGTTATCACTACACAGCACAGTGGAAAAAAGGAAAATAAGAAAAAATAAGCGACTTCGCGAAAATTTTCCTTGCGTCTCATTAGTTTTATGCACACTGGACAGTCTCAGGCGGAGAAGCAGAAAACTCTTCCCGCTGGTTTCCGTTCGTGTCTCTTCTCCCGGCTCCCCTCTCCGCGAGCGCCGTACCCGGGTGTCCAAAGACGTACGCACACATTTTAGGAGGTAATCCTAAATCACTGTGTTTTCTCTTTTACTTTTAATTTTCATTCTAATATTTTACTTACCTGTGCGAAATCTGTATCTTCCTGAATACAGGAATAAAGTATATATCACCTTCTAGGTTCCTCCTCAGCTCGTCGAATCCCACACCCTCCCTGCTCGAAGTAGCCGCGCGAGGCTCAGCCGGCGCGGGCCAGCCGCCGAGGCGGGCTCTCAGAGGCAGCCGACCTTCCACACTGACGTGGCGAATGGCACAGCAGACCCTCTCATAAAGAGTGAAAAGGTTTTAGACGCAAGTGCGGTGGTTCCTGAGCCCGGGTAACGCCCACCCGAACTTCTCACCCACACCAGCCTGCGTCTTACAGCTCCCGGGCGCACTGAGAATCCCCGGATGTGGGAGAGACGAGGGTCGTATCGCGGAAAGGCTCGCACCGCGGAGGATTACCGCCCGCGCCTGAGAACGCCGACCTATTCTTAGAAAGCGGAGCTACAAAAACTGCAGTGAGCTGAGCTGCTGGGGAAATCTAGGTGGGAAGAAGGAGTGGCACCGGATGCAGGGGGCGAGACGGAGTGGAGGCGAAGGCGACGCTGGGGTGGTGAGGAAAATGGGGGCGAGGCAGGAGGAGAGCGGGGACCGCGGAAGAGGAGCTCGAAGGGGAGAGGGCAGGAGAGCGTGGCGCTCGGGGGCGTCTGACTGGGATGGCCCCAGGGGCTCCCGCATTGCCT